GGTGGTGGGTGTGGTGGTTGTGGTGGTTGTGGTGGTGATGGTGGTGATGGTGGAGGTGGTGGGGGTGGTGGTTGTGGTGGTGGTGATGATGGTGGTGGTGGTGGTGGTTGTGGTGGTGGTGGTGGTGGTGGTGGTGGTGGTGGTGGTGGTGGTGGTGGCGGCGGCGGCGACGGCCGCAGGCCACGACCACGACAGCAGGAGTAGCGGTAGTGGAGATATTGTGTGTGTGATGAGGATGATGGTGATGATGATGATGATGGTGATGATGACGATGACGATGACGATGACGACGATGATGATGATAATAATGAAGATTGAGATATCAGTTCTTGTTGCATTATATTGTTTAGAAATATATCACAACCGTACTATACACAATAAGACAATAATGCAATGATAACATTATCTACCCATCAGTAAGCACTTACAACCATCTGAGGCTGGACAGACCGTCAAAGGTTCCTGGCTGAAGATCTTCTAAGTCATTGTCCTGCAGGAACCTATGTAAGCGTAAATAAAAACAGGAAGGAAAACGTGAGATTTGAAAAAGAACAATCGTAACGATCGTGACATCGATAATAATGTCACGTAAAAATCGCAGTCGTGCCATTGGACGATTGCTCAGCCACCTATCGTCGGCGTTTCTATAGTAACGCGAACAGCTTGCGAATTCGTCGGCATTCGCCTCGTTAAGAAGTTGTTATAATGTTTTTTTGTAGTCTTATATCCAGCTCCCGTGTATGCGAGACACAGATATGCATAATATAAGAGATATATATTTCTGCACGCTCTGTCCCCCGGGGGCAGGTACGCGCTTACGCTCCTACGTTCACCGGTTCTGGTGCGCGAGTTTATGCATTAATATTTCCTGCAGATTGATTGTTTTACTTCGGATGAGTAATCTTTTATCAAATGCACCGTGGCTGGCGATACGCCCTGCTAAAATAACCCATCTGCCCAGGCCGTGTTGTTTCTTATTAAATGCATTGCAAAACGTCGTGACGCATGGCTAATGTTGTATTGAAACTTGGATTGCTCAGAACAATATATTTTTGACGGTGTTACTATTATACATCCATCCGATACGAAATAAACAAAACGATGCAGAGCGAAAAATAAATTCGACCGAGCAAATTTTACTCGCTACGCCATATGCACACTGAAAGAAAACTAATCGGTTTTCTGTTTTAAACGAATTTTAAAAAGATTGTAAAGAAATTTCCCAGTGGATCGTACTAACTGAGTTTATCTCGGCTGGGTGCAAGTGCTATCCATGATGCCCCGATTGAGCCCATCTGATAACATTGACGAACATTCGTAATTAAGCGGCCTTTTTTTCGCATTTAAGTTTTAAATTCGCTCGGCGTGTAATTAGTAGAAGTTTTAAGTTTTTCACTATGCGGCCGCTTCAGTAAGGAGATGAGTGGTGTGTGTGTGTGTGTGTGTGTGTGTGTGTGTGTGTGTGTGTGTGTGTGTGTGTGTGTG